TCACAACCACCAGGAGCCCCTTAAGGCTTAAGGGGTGGTTAATGGACATCCCGTTTGACCTTGAAAGGGCTGTTCTTAGACACCCCTCACCGGCGGCCCTGGAAGGTCTTTCGCTGTTGGCTGTTAGGGCTTTCACCCCCGCCGTTTCACCCCCGTCGGGCCGAATCGGGTAAAAGGGTCCGACTGGATGGAGTCGGACCACCCCAGCTGCTGAGCGTGGACGTGCTGAGTGCGGAGGAGGTGCGACTGTGAGCGAGTGGAGCGAGTGGAGCGCATGGAGCGAAGGGTGGCGACCATGGTGGGACCCTGTTACTACTCCATCCCCGAAATCCCATGACTGTGGCTGTTGGTGCCCGAATTCTTTCCACCAAGATGTGTTGTAGAATTCTTACAAACAGTGACCTAAAGATGCCCTTGAATCTTCACAGCGCAGGTTGTTCCCTGCTGCCACTGTGCTCACTCCCTTCACTCCGCGCTCCACCTGAAAAACAAAAAAGGAACGTCACACACCCTGCCGCAGTGGATCATGTCCAAAAAAAAGGCCACCAGACACCGATTGAACAGTCTTAAATGTCACTTAGCCTTCACCAGTGACGAGGGCAGACAGTTGGCAACTCCCGGTCAGTCAGGGCAACGCTCCAGACTGGCCCAAGCGAGCGGGTCCTGACTCGCTCCGGCTTGGTGTTCTTCCAATTCTTGTAGCGAGGCATGTGATACTGCTGAGCATCACATAAGCTGGCTAGAACCTGCGGAGAGCTAGCTAAGCTTGAGAGCGCGGGCGGCACTGAACAAGAGCGTGCCCGTGAGCGTTCGTGTGCTGCACTTAGTGTACTCCAAGCTTTAGTTCCAAAGGTTCTGAAGTTGGGTTCACTGATTTTAATGATCAAAATTTTGCTACTAGCACACATAGATTGTGTTGGGATGTTTATTCTCTTGTCAGCGTTGTCTCCTTGTTTCCCCGACGGCCGACCCAACCGCAGATGACTTCCAACAAAATGAAGAGACTCTTTTCAAAGAAAAAACATACTCATACAGTAGCCTTCTGCCGAAATCCATGCTTGGACAGGCATGCCATATCCACCGATAGCCATACCCTTCTACCGCTCTCCGCTCTTCGCTCTTCGGACTTTGTTCACTGGCCTTCGACATCACTTGAGTCTGGGAGAGGATCTCCTGAGATCGGTCAGGATTCCGAAACGAACACGGGTGACCAGTTGGTCGTCTGCCCCTGCCCCAAAGGACCGAACACGGCCATGTCTATCTCCAGTTTCTGACACCAAATAAACCTCAGGAAACCACTACGGTGCGGGTAGAAACCAAGCAAATACTGCATGACGTTGGCAGGCGTGCTGGCCTTTGGTATTGGACTTCGCTCGATCAAGACGATCTGAAGAAAGGAAGTGAATCTTTATAAGAGAACAGGCGATAGTGAGCTTCTGGGGTGGTGATTTTTGTCGGGTCATACCCGCACGGACGCACGGACCAGAACGTTCCCAAGCCACGTCCTGCTGAGGTGCATCGAACGGATGCCTTGGATGGAATGGGGATGCCGGACTCGTGAGCTCTGCTTTTGCATCTTCGCTCTGCTTGGGGCTTTTTGATGGTTGGACTGGTCAGACAAAAAGGTCGGCGGTCGACGCAAGTGATCCGGAAAGAAATTGCCAAAATGGCGTTCAACTCCGACAAAAATCACGATGTTGGAAACCACAGAGCCATTCTATCAAGTGGCACGCCTGCAACAGCTAAAGATTAGCAAACAGCAACAGCTGCTTTTTGACATGACAGCAGATCCCATGTTGATGTGTGGGGGGGGGCTTTATTTAAACAAAATCAAAACAATGCAAAGTCACTTCAAAACATCTTGAAGTCGAGTTTAACATATGAATAATTCAAAGCTATCTCAATTAAAAAAATACTCCCCAACAACTCAACTCTGAAAACTCAATTCTAGCAAACTCAGTTCAATAAAGACTCAGTTCAGTTCAAAAATAATTCAAAACAAAAGTCCATTCGCAGCACAAAGTCACCTCTAAAAAAATGAAGTTAATGCAAACTTCAGCTTCTTGTAGTTCATTACTGTTGTCAAATTTGCAAGCAACTCAGTTGGCCGTGGCAGCCCGTCCCCATGCTTCAACAGTTGTGACCCCTCTGCTAGCTGCACCATGCTGCAACCAAATGACTGCACCATGCTGCAGGGTAGTCAACATCCCGAGAAGAGCAACTCTTCCAAATTAGAGGGCACAAAGTAGCTCCCCTTACATGAACAAGTGTGTTTTTAAAAAATGCAGGAATGGTTCTCCAGCTGGGGATTCAAGAGTTGGTCAGTTCCTGTTTTCAGCCGAAGCACTCTGGCACGTCTGCCCGCCTGGACGCTGCACTGTGTTCTCCTGCGGAGCCTGCAGTAGCAAACGTGTGTAGGAGATGATGGTGAGATGCCAACAATGATTATGCAGCCATCCCTAGTAGGTTGGAGGCCATCGCTAGTAGGTTGGAGGCCATCGCTATTAGGTTGGAGGCCATTCCTATTAATGATGGAGCAATCAAATCGAAGAGTCTTAGGAAGTGCAAAGTGGCTTCAGATGTACAGTAACAGAAAAAATAACAATATGGCTATCTAATCCAAAATACCTAAGCAACCCGAGGAGCTTGGCGCGGTTTCCCAACTCATGAATATGTGTGCACATAAACTATCAACAGTGCACTACCGTGCCTGTGGGGCTCCAAGGCAACGACTCAGCGTCACTCCTTGGCTGCAACGACATGCGATTGGATTGAGGCATAGTGAAGCACCGTCGTCCATTCCCGGACGACGGCAAGTGGACGAGCTAGCTCGTCCACTGCCGTGACGAGTCGAACGAGTCGACACCCACTGTTTGTACTTTGAAGATGTGCTTCAAGTATAACTAGTACAACTCTTGCTTGGATGTTGGAGGAGGTAAACAGCGAACCCGTGCTTGTTTCTTGTGGACCGGTCTTCTTGTGTAAGAGAGGCTGGACCTCATCAAAAGCTTGACACAATCAACATACATCTGAAAATGATCACCCGACAAAGATTATCACAGTTCTCTAATCCCTGGTGGGTGCCAACTCCACAGAATGCTCGATTGTGAACACCACTCTCCCTTTTGAAACCATGCAATCAAAGCTTACATATACTTGTGTTAGTCAAAAGTTCAGACTTGGGATCGCCTGCACCGAACCACGGCCATCACCTGCGCCACCCGCATCAACTGCGCGCCCCAAGGATCTTCAACCTTGACCAAGTGGGAACTCTGGACGGTGGATCCTCCAGCGACGACTCCTGGGCAACTGGGCGACCGGTGGTCGAACAGAGAGACGGCCATCGGACCCACAGCCATTGAGAGAGCCGGTCAAGGCGGGGGTCATCAAGCCATATACGATTGATACATCTGTATATGCCGTGTATATATAATATTAGTTCAAATCATAATATTTTATGTATACAGCATGTGTTGGTTGACGTATGGATTTATATGTCTCTCTATGCCGATTGAACCCGGTCTCATGGCCCTTTCTTCGGTCGTCCATCGCCTCAGAGAGCACCGAGCCCACCAGCTTGAAGGGCGGCTCCAGTTCCAAGCTCGGCCGCGCGAAGAGCGCCGCACAGGAGTCCATGGCCGCGCGAGCCGGCGCTGTGTGCGCTCCACAGTGGTGGTGTGGTTTTCAGACTGGTGAGCAAACAGAACTGTTTCATGGTGTCCTTCGTATATAAACTATATATAGACTTATAGTGTAAACCTCCAAAGAAACCAAGCACACAAGTGGTAAGTGAGGAAAAAAAGAGTTGTTGTCGTTCAATTTGTCCTTGTTGGATCTTGTACGGTGGGGCGCTTCTTGTTGCGCCACAACGTAGCGAATGCAAAACGCCAGGGTTCCAGGAACCTGAATCCTGAGAGTTCTCACATCTGTCCTACAAAGATGTTCATCCAAAAAAACAGTCTCATCTAGTTACTAGTTCGTCGTCCTGTTGGGCACAACACCTGACTGCTTCTGCTCCAGGTCCAGAAGAGCGGCTGAGATCCATCGGCTCCGCCCCCTTGGGACTGGGCCACCGAGATCGACCACGCCCACCCAAGCGGTTTTCGGCAGGGAAAGGCCGCTCCAAGGATGTGAGGATTTCCTCCAACCAACGAAGCCCCGAGCCTTCGCCCTGCTGCAGTAGTCCAAGCCATCCCAGAAAACAGGCGATATGGTCCACACTTCCATACTTCCCATCTCCAACCACCTTCCATCAGTGATGTTCAAGAAATCTGAGAAATGGAATTCCGAGCAAGGACCCTCCCCCAATGGGTTCACCTCTCAGCTTTTCTTGGCGAGCAGGGCGACACGGTGTTCAGTCTGACCTGGCGAATGGCGGACGCAGCGACAATGCCCAAAGACAGGACAACCATCGAAAAATACGGGACAAATCCAAACATATGGGTCCAACTTGGAGGATATCCAGATTCAGAAAAAGAAACGGAAAGTGCCCCCCCCCACGCGCTTAAAGGATCTGAGCTGGGTCGCAGCTCTCCTCGACAGAAAAGAGCTGGCCTGCCTGGCACCATTGTCACCATTGTCAGATGGAAGGTGTTCACCCTAAAAAGAAAATGATTTCATCTTGATATCAACCCAAAAACTCTTCACCATGCCCTTCACGCGACCTGCTTCAAGTTCCGAGCACAGAAGATCCCTCTTCCCGAACCCGGAGATGGCTGCGGGTCGCCGTGAGACGAAGCAACACTTGCGGACCTGGTGACCTCCCCTCCTGCGCCTGCGGACCGTGGTGAGACCCAGCTCCGGTGGCTGAACCGGCCCCGGTGAGTCATTTGAAACACCGCATCCCGTTGATCACTCAGACTCGTGGTGTGTTTTGTGTGTGGAAAACCGGATCTTCATGATCTTTGCAGCCTTCCAAGTCCACTCAACCCACCGGCTCCCTGCATGTCCCGAAACCACACGAAACCACACTCCAGGTGCCGCGCCTGCTCCTTGCCTTCTCACTTCTCATCGCACGCGGCTCGGGTCCAGTGCGGAAGAGAGGTTCGCTCGTAGCAGTTGGGCATGATCACGATCGACTGATTTCCAATGAGGGCCATTGACATACTCAGCGAGGACCTGCCAACCACCCGGAACCCCTAAACCCACAAAGGCAGGCATCCTGTAGTCTGCCGTGGCTTCAACTCGCCAGGTGCAATCGAAAAAGGCAAGAGTTGGAACACGAAAAAACGCTTCAGTCGCTCACACTGGAACTTGGCCCCCTTCAATTTCACTCAGGGTGAGGATGGTCCTAACCCTCCAAAGACCATGAAGACGTCTTCAATCACAGAAGATCCGTCTCACACGGGCGGAGATCCGCAACTGCCTGCTGGTGATGAAGGCGTCGGCTATAATCATCCGATGGATGGCCAACTCCTTGGTCAACGAAAGCAACAAAAAGCAGGAAACAATGGCCATACATGCAGCGTTCAATCATCGAGACATGGCCAACTCCTTGAAATCGCAACCATACATGAAATCTTGAGGTCATACCGCTGCTCTCGATCTTGTCATTCAAAAGAGCTCTCAACAAACCTGTCCTGATCCACACGTGTCTCGCGCGCATGTGTCTCGCACCTATCACGTGCCAAACGCGCACGAAGTCCTTTGGGCCAGGACACTAGGCTGCTGCTTCGTCCATCCAGCACAATGTCACTGGCCTCCAGTCGTGGTTCTGCCTCGCGTCACGCATCACGTACAAGACGGACTGGCCAGTTGAGACATCAAACAAAGCCAATACTGGTCTCGCCCAGTTCGTGTTTGCGTCACTCGAAAGAGAACGTGTCACCTTCACCATCCTAATACCTAAAAAAAATAAAGAACTCACTCTTCCAACTGTGGGGCAGTGGTTTTGGAAGGTTTTTGAACTCGGAGCATGCAATTGTGCAGGGAGCTGAGAAGTGTTCACCGAAGCTGGGCGTTCAGCCGAGAAAAGACTTTGATAGACTTTGTATATCCTTTTGCTGTGAAGTGGAATTGAGTGACAAGGTCACAACCCTCTTCCTGTCTTTTCTTCTTCAACTATTTCGGATAAAGATCTTCACCGCCAAAACCCGACCAACACCCTAGGTTCCAGAAATGACCTCAGCATAACCAACAAAACCTTCCATGCGAAGCATTACCAGCAAACCATCCATCCAACAAACCATTCCTTGCCTTGATGAGATTCTGGACCTTCTCCTCATCCGTCTGCACGCGAAACAAGGGTGGCGGCTTCCCCTCCGAGCGAAACCGCTGCCTGAGCGACTCGATCTGCCTGGCATACCAACCTGGGCATACCAACTCGAGTCCGGGGACACGCACAGCGAGATGCAGGAGTTTGAAGCACAGGGTGGTGGCTTTCCCCCCACACCCTCAAGCACATAGATCCAAACGCAAATGGGAAATCTGCTCAAGTTCTTGACATGTTGATTATTCTATTTAGATACAGGAAGATTCAGAGAAACATCGTAGGTCGAGGTCTTCCGGTCGGTGAGGCATCCTCGAATGGCATGAAATTTTGGGTAGTATGCAGGAATGTTTGCTGCAAATTAATACTATGTTTGACAATGGAATATAGCTAAAACCACCAAGAACATCAGTGAAACACGGGGATAGATCAAAACAACAACCCCCCTTGAGAATACACTGTGAATTGCTTGGCATCCATGTCTGCTTGTGTTTCTTTCCCAGACTCAATCTCATACCCAACCCTCCAAAAACAGAGCAATTTCAAGAATTCATCCATGTCGCCTGCATGCGCATCATCCAAGTTCCACGCTCACCTCACCTCACCATTTCAGCCCACCATGTCAGCCCACCAGTTCAGCCCAGGAGCTCAATTTCAGCTGATATCCCGAATCGCCGCGTCGGATATGCACGGCCACTTTGGGCCCCCCAGGTCTGTTCCGCGAAGCCCTCCGTCCATTGGGGGTCGGGCTTCTCACTGGAGAAGTAGGCGGCATGGATGTGGGGCACCAGCTTATACCAGTGGCCAGATTCCATGTAACCTGATGCCACACAAAGCATCGAAGAGGCTCACGGTAGAGTGAAGTGTGCGAAGTGGTGGTTGATACCAAGAGTGACTTGAACCAGCTCTCAATATGAGTGGCAGTATGCCCTGGCTGAAGAACGGAAAGGCCAAAAGTTGGAGTTCCAAGTCGCCGTGGCAGTACATGCGATCCCAGCAGTTGTCCATGCTAACCAAGTCTTGGCCATCCTGGCGTCGGCCCCGCCCGGACCTTCGAGCGGTCGTGAGTTCGACCTGTCGTCTGATGTGTCCATGTTTTTTCAGTAAGAGTTTTACTTCAAAATGGTTGCGTTAGAGGCCAAGGACTCGATCATGTCTTGCTTCCTGTTCGAAGACAACTCCCTTATCAACACTGCTCCCAGTGAATTTGCCCCAGCAAAAAGGAAAACAAGTGGATAGTTGCGCATCAACCCCAGCACGGTCGCAAGATTGTCTTTACTGACTGCAAGCAACCAGGCCGGTCAGAATCAAAAAACATGGCGTCCTTCGCTGAAAACGCTGTGACTTCGATGGCGACGAAACGAGTCCGCCCCGCCTTTTTGCAGGTCAGGTTCCCCTTTTCCACCAAGCGCAGCCAGCCATTTTGCCAGCACTTTCCGACCCAGGGAACCACCTGCCTGCGCTCCTGGAGAGACTGCCACGCACCCACTGAACCCAAAAACGAGAAGGGTTCCATGAAGCGGAACCGCTCTAAGGTCCCGTAGGGTGGCAGAAACTCGGAATCCTTTTGGTGAGTCACAAGGTCACAACTTCACAACAGCGTTTCGGGCAGAAACTTCAGACACCTTCGGTTCACCTCTGTCCAATCATTCATTAAGACCAACCTTCTTCCAAGGCATCGCTAGGCTTTGTGAGAACAACTCCGACAGGATCAGGATGCCCTGCAGGTGGCAGTCCGAGGACACACCTCTCCCGTGTCATCCACCCCGTGTCATCCACCCCAGTGTCAACGCTTTCACCCAACAACACGTCGGTTCCGTTTTGCGGCGCGCGGGAACGCCGCACCGGAGACCGTGTGAGCCATGCCTTCATGGTGGAGCTGTTCAGCAGCCGGAATTGCGTGCTGAGGCCGAAGAAATTCTCAAAGAAGGCAGCCATCTTCGCTGGGTCTCGCACGTGCTGCATGGTATAGAAAGGCTTGTGGATATAGTCCTGGGTGCTGCATACTGCATTGACAATAGACCAGCAACGGAGAAGAGTCTCGTGTGAACTACCATGCAGTTTTTTCTTAGTTTAGAGTAGTTTAGAGGCCTATGCCGTATGCTTCATAGGATCTACAGGGGCGGAGACACGTAGGAACAGCTTTCTTTGGACGTTCGTTGCTTCATATATATATATATGTGAAAGCGGACATGGCACGGACCTATAAGCCAGTCTTCGCAGGAACCCTTAGTGCTCGGAAGGCAGAAAAGGGCGCCGCTGATATGCCCCGGGTGGGGCCTCCGCAGCTACATTGGTAGCGGAGCCCCACCCGGGGCACAAAAGAGCGGCCTAGGTAGACCGCGGCGACATGGCGTCAGCGTCTGAGGCCCAGGGCCTCAAGCGCTTTGGTGGGGAGGAAGAAGACCCTGGAAAACAGTTGAAAAAGTGGAAGACCTGGGCATGTGCGAAACTCATGACCTTCAAGGACATGCGCAAAGAACAGCGTGGTCCTTGGATCCTGACCTTGCTGGATGGCAAGGCATGGGACTCGGTGGAGCACCTGACTTTGGAACAAATAGCTTCGGCAGAAGGTGAGCAGTTGCTATGGAGCACATTGCAGGAGCGGTTCCCCGAGAAGGAGATGTCTTCGGACTAGTTGCCTCAGAAGGCGAGACAATGAAGATGTGGACAGCTCGGGTGAAGGAAGTCTTCGATGTCTGCAAGCGAAAAGCTTCAGTTGAGTTTCCTCCAGCCGCTCGAGGCTGGGTCGCCCTTCACTGTGCTGGCTTGAGTGAGGAGCAGAAGGCCATAGTGAAAGCAAAGACGCAAGGTAGTCTGGACCACGAGGCAGTGTCAGCAGCCTTGAGGTCGTGCTTCCCGCTGTACAAGGCGGCCGGAGGTCGCAAGAAAGCGACCGGGGTCTTCCAGGTGGAGCCTCTTGATGAGACAGAGAAGCAGGAACCAGATGATGACCACCAGTTCCAGGACGTCGAAGCGTTTTTGGCAGAACACGACGCTGCTCAAGCGTCGTTCACTGATGACGCTGTGTTTTCAGAGAGCGAGACTGCCGAGGCCCTTGCCGTGAGTTGGAAGGAGCGAAAAAAAGAGATTGCAAAGTTTCAGCAGTCGCGACAGTTTGGCTCAGCCTCCAGCATGCAGTCCAAGCGACAGTTCCGAGTGCAAGTGGAGGAGTTAAGAAGAGGACAAGATGCCGCCGATGCGGCAAGATTGGACATTGACAGAAGGAATGCAAGGAAACAGCAACGTCTTCCAGTACACCTGCAGTTGGTGCCAGCTATGTTGAAGTTGACTCACACGACACTCCTACTCCAGCCTTCGTTGGCTTGATGGAATGCCTCAGTGCTGTTGAGACTTTGGCGGCAAACTTGGTGTCGTCGCCAGGCTTTGGAGTGGTGGACTCAGGGTGTGGACGCACTCTGATAGGTCGTGAGACCTTGGCAGCTCTGGAACCAATGATCCAACAGAAAGGCTACGCAAAGCCGACTCGCTACCACTCGGAGAACACCTTCCGCTTTGGCAACGGAGCAGTGGAAAGCTCACAGCAGGCCGTCCGCATTCCTTGCGGAATTGGGCACCAGTACGGCATCATAGATGCAGCAGTCATCAGTGGCCATGCACCTCTCCTGTTGGGTCGACCGACCCTTGAGAAGTTGAAGGCACAGCTCGATTTCAGCAATGGCAAGATGGTCGTTTGTGGCAAAGAAACCTCCATGGTCACCAACCCCGCTGGGCAATTGCTAGTAGACGTTCTGGCCTTCCCGGTGAGTGTGACCGTGAGAGCACCTGCCATGCTGCAGAACCGTGCCTCGAGCCCAGTGCGCATCAACCCTCTGACCAGGCGGGGGGAATTAAAGGGAAACAGAAAACCAAAATTACATTGAAAAAGAAAGAATGTCGATGTTTGCTTGCTCAGAGTTACCAAGCAGAAGCTCGAACTCGATCGAAAGTGTTGGTGGCAGAGTTGTTTTCACCGCCTCGTTTTTCCCTTGCAGCCGAGCAGCTTGGTCACAAAGGATTGTCCTTTGATATTAAGCAGGGTTGGGATTTGGAAGATGCAAAAACCCAAAAACAAGTCGATAAGATGTTGGAAGAACAGTGTCCCGCCCTCCTAGTGGTGAGCCCAGAATGCAGACACAGAGGTGGCTGGGACCATCTCAATCGCCGCTATCGAACACCACTTGAGCAA